GAAATCAGACATCAAGACAGAGAGGTATGACAGAATGAATTCACCTCTCTCCACCCTGGAAGGCAATTTGCACAATGTCTAATAGGCTGTAAATATATGCACATTGTCTGATTTGGCGATTCAATTTTAGAAATATGTTCTGAAGAAATAATCTGAGAAATGTACAAATATCGGTAAAAAACATGTTCATCTGGAGCATGAATTAAGAATGTCAAACTTGAAATAACTGAAATGTGTAGCAAGAGGAAACTTCATATTCATAGAATATATATTAAACAGTGACGAAGAATGAATATATTTATATGTTCACAGAGAAAATGCTCACAATTTATTTTTTAAGTAGTTTAAAAAGAGTACATATAGTGTAATAACATTTTTTGTTTAAAGAATTACACATACGTGTAAGATAATTTTAAGAATCTGGAAGCATATATACCATGTTGTTCTCTCCACATTGTAGAGTTGTGGATGGGTAATTTTTATACTCTTTATTTTTATCGCTACTTCCAACATTACCTCAATTAACAATTTTTTTCTTAAAAAGCCACTTTCTTTAATAAAAGGCATATTAAATTTTCTTCCACAGAAGCCAGATCAGAAGTGGGTATTTTAGTATTTACTTGCTAGAATACAATTTTTTCCGAGTCATGATTCTGCAATCAAATACAAATCTATTTATTGTAAATTTACAACCACCAATTCCATAATAGATCTCTTTTCTATTTAAATTGTCAGAGTCTAATTTACAGGTAACTCTCCTTGCCTTTTTCCTTGAATAAATGAAAACAACAGGAATACAGATCTCTCTCCTGCTATTTGCCAGATAGATGATCTCAGAAGGAGTTACTTCATCTTTCTGATCTCAAGTTAGTTTCCTTATATGTGGGGATAAAAAATAATAAATAATTCAAATAAATTTAATAAGAATTTAATAAGCTGTATGGAAGAGGTATTCTGTAAATTTAAAGTGTTACGTAAATGTTAACCAGGGATAGGTGATAGTATTTTGCCTGTTTTTCCCTGTCACTAACTCATTGTGAGACCTTGAGAAAGTCACTTAACCTCAACGTTTGTCAAGTTCTTCATCTTTAAAATGAAGAAATGAATGGTTCTGGAGACTTCTTGTTTTTGACTCTGTCATTCTATTATTTTGTGACTCTACTGGGCTGTTTGTGGGTCGTGACAGATGCTTGCAGAGCCCTAGAAAATGATATAAAAATTTAAATCATTGAGTTTGGCAGAAAACATGAGGCTGTCTTCAGTGCTGATGTAGTGATGGGTAGGATGGCTTTAAAAGAAATGCTCAGTCCTGGTTCCTCTGAATCATTTTCTCTCCAAGTGAGGACAAAGATGAAGAGTGAAGAGATGCTGCAGCAACTGTATACGTGGAAACTGACCCAGAGTAGACTCCCAAGGAGCCTGTTGGAGAAAGTCATGCCCAGAGGACAAACTCTGTCCCCTGGAGGCCTGTTGCTGTCTTCCCAAAATGCTCTGGCTGACTCTCCTGCACTGCCTGTCTTGGAAAGCCCTGTGATAAAACTGAGTGGTAATGACTCTTTAAATGTATTTATGGTAGCAAAAAAAAGTGCGTGTGAACGCTGAGCAGAAGAATGCTCCTGACCAGAGAAATGTGTTACTTATAGAAAATAACTTCTGGAAAAAACATGTCATTTTTCTCCCAGTGAAAGGTACAAAAATCTTCAGAAAAACAGAATATCAGAAGCACAAAGGTATTTAATGATCAGTTGATTCAGCTCAGTCTTCTATAAAGGTGGAAACTGAGTCCAAGTAGGAAGAGAGGGGAACAACAGGGAGATGAGTTACTCAATACCTACTGTTTTCCAATGCAGGGAAAGGTCTAATTTTTATTTTCTCTCTCTCTCTCTGTCTCTCTCTCTCTCTCTCTCTCACACGCACACACACACACACACACACACACGCACCTGACATATATGCACTCATATATACACATACATACATATATACACATATATAATAGACACATATTATATATAGTATACTTGTGCGTATAATACTGAGATATGTAAATAGAGTTCATATCAACTCATAAAATGGATATAAAACATTCTCTATTTCTTTAATAAGAAAGCAGAGATTAAGCTAGATTGGATGACTTCTCAAGGTCACAAATATAATTAGTAGAAGAGCTTGGGTCTTTTGTCCTTGACAATCAGAATCAGAGGAAAGAAAAACTTTTTTCCTTTTTTTTTTTTTTTCCAACTTAGAACATCCGGCCCAGGGATGAGTAAGCAGACACTAAGGTACTTTTTTAACTTCCTAAAGATATAACAACTTGGATGCCTCTAAGTATCAAGCCAGTTATTCCTTTATAGTCTTGCTTTCTATCCTGGCCACTGGCAAAGTGGCATTATTATCCTATGAGTCATCATGCTAATAAATATATCTAATTTGAAGATAACCCCTTCTTCACTTTGCAGAATGATTTAACCCTCCCTCCTCTTCATCTTTTTCCATTCCCAGCACCAGTCTCTCGTGTCTAAAAACAAAATGTCACTGAAGCCAGTTTCATGAAATGAGGAGAGGATGATAAGATCCTAAAATATTTCAAAACCATGACTTTAGAATGGAACTTTTGGAGCTGTGTGAAATGACTTACAGAATGAGTGCCTTTGATAACAGAAGGGATGCAGGAAAGAGTATGTTCAAGTACATACTAGAGTTTGCAAAGAGACTGTCTTCTGAAAATTACTGGTAGTGGTCAAGGAGTGATATGGAAGGGAAGTGGTCAGGTAAGAAGTCTACATTTTTTCAGTTCTTCCAAGCTCCTGAAGCAATTTATACCTTGGTTTGTGATTGCATTTATCTCCCTGCCTTTTGGCTGTTTCTTTCATAACTGTATCTTCAAGGGCAAAGATTATTGATTAAAAAGATAATACTCAGGGACTAGCCCAGAGCTTGGCATAGAGAATATTTTTGCAAATATTTGCTTACTGGAAGAATAAGGTTCACAGAAGTAGAATTTCGGTGAGGTTGTTGAATGCTTTTTATCTGCATAGCATTTTGTCCTTCTCTCTCCAACCCTACAATAATTCTTCCCACTTTGAAAAATTCAAGTGGACATAACCCTCATCCACAATGACTCCAGTGATGAGCTTCTGAACCAGGCCTAACCTGCAAGAGCTTGCTCCCACTAGGCTTCCCAGGTCAGGTAAATGTGTGATTCACGTCAGACCAATCAGGGCTTTCCCCTAACATTCTGCCAGCACACTTGGGAAAGTCTTTTTTTTTTTTTTCTTCTTTTTCTGATTGCATATGCTCTAAAGACCAGGTAACTTGGAACCATCATGGGGCCTTTAGCTAATGAGAGAAAGGGACAGACAGAGAAAGAGGAGTATGTTACATGAACATTCAAAGGCTAACGGAGTTGAGAGGGAAAACCTTAGTGCCATTCTATAAACACCTGAATCCAGCTTTTACGTGAATCTTACCTCTTTGTCTTTCCAGATACAATAACCAATAAATTATCTTACCATTTTAATTGTTCTTTCACAATCAATCAAAAGAGACATTGCCAAGACAATAAATCATGTGACTTCTCAAAGTCCCTTTCCAAAGTTTAGATAATTTCATCCCATTAATGGAAAGGATGAGCTACTGGCTGACAAAAATTCAACATAAAAGTACCAACCAGGGGTTTCATGGATCATCTATATTAAAGAAAAATTCATATTAATAAGAGGTGGTTTTTTTTCTAGTTTTGTTTTGTGTTTTTTTGTTTTTTTTTTGTTTTGTTTTTGTTTTTGTTTTAAACACAGTCTGGCCCTGTTGTCCAGGCCAGAGTGCAGTGGAGCAATCATAACTCACTGCAACCTCCATCTCCCGTGCTCAAGTGATCCTCCTACCTCAGCCTCCCAGGTAGCTGAAACTACAGGTGCCTGCCAACATACCCAGTTAATTTTTGTCCTTTTTGTCAATGTTGCCCAGGCTGGTCTTGAACTCCTGGTTTCAAGCAATCTACCTGCCTCAGCCTCCCAAAGTGTAGGAAGCCATTATGCTCAACTTTAATGAGAATTTTCTAGGCAGGCCTGTGAAGACAGTCTCAGCAAAAGCACTATTTTCCTCCAAAATTTCAAGTTCTGGCACATCTATTCAATCTCTCACCTGTTTGCCTTGTTACTGTTTCCTAGAACAGTGTATAATTGAATGATTATTAGGAGTGGACTCAGAAACCCTGGGCTTTATCATCTACTGTGCAGTACCGAACTGCAACCTTGAATAAAGTCACATTAATCTTTCCATGTCTCACATTCCTTATTGCTAACAAAGGAATAATAATAGCTATTTCATGGATAGTCACAGGAGTTAAATGAAATTAATTACATACAAATATAGAGGCCTGATGTCAGGCATAAAATATCATTTGTGTTTTTTCACTCTAGCAACTGAATTATGCAAATAATATTTACTGAATGCATACTATGAGCCTACTATGCTATTTTATTTAGTTTATGAAAAAAATATTCAATGCACATTGATTGACATCTTCAGGTGGACAAAAAAGGAATATTCAAAGACATTTTCCAGTAAAATTTCATCAAACAGTCTTCATTAGTTAATCTTGACTCTCTTTTCATATCCTTACAAGACAGATGGGCATCAGCTCCTGCCCTTTCTAAGTAATGTAATTCCCTCCAAATCTCTTCCCACTCTGGAGCTGTTTACCTTTGTGAAATTCTGATGGCTGAATCCTCACACTTATTATTCTGATCAGCCCATCAAATGTTTTCATTTATATCCCTACTCTTTAGAATATAGAGGAAATTTATATAATATTTTTTTTCACTTTCACAGTGATTTTTCTCACATCCTTCTCAAAGATTCCTACCATGGGTCTTTGAACCTAAGGTCCATAGTATGTCTTTTCCACAGCTCAGCTGGGATTTTGTTAATCATTACTGTTGGCTTATTAGAAAACAATGACAATATTCTTGCTGTCATAATTAAGTTATCAACATGATTGTTATTCTTTTTCAGGGTCTAGTTTAGATACTAAAGTCATGATCAAACCAAGGCTTCTGCTGCCCTTGTGATATTTACTTACCAATGGGGAAGAAATAAAACAAATAAATATATAGTCATATAATGTGTAACAATATATCAGGCATTAGTAAGCTTCAGGAAGCAGAATAAAGCAGGGTAAAAAAGTTGGCACTTCACATAGAGTGGTCATGGAAGGCATCATTAAAGAGGTGGCTTAAGCAGAGAGCCAAATGAAGTGAAGTGAGAAGCCATATGATTATCTGGAGAGGAACATTCCAGGTGAAGAAAACAGCCGCGGACATGATTGAGGACCAGCAAGGAGGTCGTTAAGACTGAAGTAGAGCAAACAAGGGAAGAGTGGTAAGAAACAGCATATATGTCTGGTTTTAATGTAATTGTCCATTTATATATCTGTTTGCCACACACAACTCTAAACTCCTACTAAGCACAGCAGCATCTTCTGCTTCCACATTTCCAGTGCCCAGCATAATACCAACAAAGAGTGGATGCTAAAATGCTCAGTAAATATTTATAATAAATGATACAGGCATGATTTAATTATTGGAAACTCTGTAAGTGATTGTCAGATTTGGAACCAAATAATACATTCTGGTTAGGCCAGATGTGACATGTTTTAAACACATGTAACTACAGAAACAATGTTGCATGGATAATAAATAGCGAGTCTTATGTTTTGGTGTTTTTCCGTCAAATGAGATTACTCATTTGAAAAGCATTGAGGTGTTACAGAACTGCTAGTGGGCATATTTTTGTATGTGATTCCTAATTAATTTAATGTGCTAAATGTGCTAAGAATGTTATCTTATGACTTCTGTGACTGAGAAATGTAAAATACAAAAGAAAACAGCGATGAAGGGTTAGGAAGTGAATGAGGCAAATCCATTGTTGAATAACAAACATGGTAATTACACCAGTGACATCTTTGGCACTGAAATGACCAAATAAATTATTACTTGCCTAATTATCTTGTTTTAACTAGATATTGCATAAAGATATTTTTCTAGACATACTAAGGAATAATCTTTTATATTTTTAGAAATTTTGAAGTTTTCAGCAATATTATAGTTAAATCTCAAAGTATCCTTCATGTTAAACACTCAGAAAGGTGATATCACAGGACTAAAGTCACAGGTGTCAGGCAAGAACTTCAACTCAAGTCTTTTAATTCCCAATCTAGCGTTCTTTCCACTTAAGAAGGATTCAGCCATTAATAAGAATCGAAGAATCATTTAGACAACAGCAAACATGGAATTAAAACTTCTAAAAGTGGCTAACTGTAGTTTTTTAAAAAATGTCTGGGACAGGACAATTTTAAGTAGGAAATAGTCTTAATTTTATAATCACATTGAACTAGCCATGAAATATATAAACATATATTGCATGCAAAATATAACAATTTACTTTTATTCAGGATCTCAACAGAACAGAATAAAGGCCATTTATTTATTTTAGTTCATTTTGAGGACATTTTAATTTTTTTATCTAGGCTAGACTTTTATGAATTTGCATGATTCCTAAAAAAGAAGTTGTTGAAGGCTCTCTTTATGTAATATACATAATTTAAATCCCTATAATTATCAGACTATAGGAAAGAAATCACCATACAATGGAAATATACTCTTAGGACCACATGTAAAATTTTTCTTCAATTTAACATCCCTTCTTTTTACTAACAATGTCTTTTCTACTCTTGATATTATTTATGTTGATCACTTTTTATTGTTTGTAAGATATTAAATATCCAAAAATACAATGTAAACACAATGCAAATTAACTACATATAAAGATACACATCTTGTAAGAGATTTACAGCTCTATGAAGTATGTTAAATTTTCAATGCAGAACTTCTCAGATCTTCCCACAGTCATTCACTGACTCAGGAGAATATGGTAAAATTAGATCAGCTAATTAATACAGAAGAAAAATCAGCAAGGATGATGAGATATGCATTTCAAAATAGAAAAAGTTTAATACCAAAGGATAAGAGCAGTCCTATAGAAAATTAGTGCCAATACAGAATATTTTTGCAAAAGTGGCCCTCTTAATTATCATGTTATAAAAGTCAAATGCAAACTAAAGTTTCTAATATTGTATTGTCACACGATTATGCTGAAAAAAGTTGCAACGTGAAATCAATGCTCAATATACTCTTTGTCCTAATACTAAGCACATAGTTGCAATAATAATTTAGGCATTATTAAATGTAAGATAAAGTGTTTTCAAGGTTTAAAATTGTAGAAAACATACAGTGGCTACTTCGTGATTCCTTTATAAATCACCTCCAAAGCAAAAAAGGAACAAAAAACAAGAACACAAAATCCTTCTTCACCAAAACTACAGCAACTAGAATGTAAATAGCCTACATATGTAAACTACACATGCAGAATTCTACATATGTAGAATGTAAATACAGGGAAGAATGATAATTGAAAATTATAGGGTATGGAAATACAATGAGTGAGGATATCCATAGCTTTAGATCTCAAACAAACCCAGAAAATGTTATTTATCCAGAGTATGTGTCACATCTAGGGAAACAAAACTCATCAGAACAAAAGGTGAGTGGTAGGGAAAGTATATAGGTTTTAGTATGAGCTTCCATAAATCAATTTAAGCATAAAATCTAGATTCTTGGACAGCATGACAAAATGTAAAATATATGGAAAGCAATCTGTCGGTGAGGCATAGAAAAGAGATACATTTTATATTATCAACAGTACTAGAGTACAAATTTAAGACTAAGAAAATTCACTCATCCTTCTCATCCAGAATAGAACTTTTGTTGCTCCCTCACATTAATCACCTGAAAAACTCTCCTCTTTAAAGACCGCATACTATAGAGCTATCGTCTATATGCCATAAGAGAAAAGGAGACAAAGGATAGGATTTTTGTAGCAGAAGAAAATCATAACAATATGTATCACTATGAATTTTTTTTCTTGACGGAGTCTCGCTCTGTCACCAGGTTGGAGTGCAGTGGCACAGTCTCAGCTCACAGCAACCTCAGCCTCCCAGGCTCAAACAATTCTCCTGCTTCAGCCTCCCAACTAGCAGGGACTACAGGCATGTAACCCCCATGCCCAGTTAATTTCTGTATTTTCAGTAGAGACGAGCTTTCACCACGTTGGCCTGGATGGTCTCGATCTCCTGACCTCGTGATCCACCCACCTCAGCCTCCCAAAGTGCTGGGATTACAGGCATGAGCCACTATGCCCTATCCACTATAAATTTTTACAACATAATATAGCAACAACTTTTATAAAACAGGAGCACAAAGGAGACCTAAAAGAGCTCAGGAATCTATGAAATGTAAACAGAAGATAAAGTGTTAGTATAAATAGCGCAGAAAAGAAGTGAAAGAAAAATTAAAGTCAAACTGGGCCAACAGGAAGTTTCTTTGAATTCCAAAAAACAGAAAAAAGTAAAGATAACATTTCCTAATAGAAGTATCAAAAAAGAAAGGAAGCAAAGGATGTAAGGAGGGAAAAAGGGAGGGTGGCAAGGAGGGAGGGAGGAAATGGAGAGAAGAAAGGAGGGAAGGAGAGAAGGAGGGAGGGAAACTATAAATGACAAAAAGAAAACAACAAAATCTACCTCTAGAAAATTCTAAACCTCTCTCGAACAAGTATTAGATGAAATAAGAAATTTAAAGTAAAGCTGAAAATCATTTTTTAAATAGCCATAATTTATAGTCTATATTTATGAAATATAGCTAAAAAATGCTCACAGAAAAAAATCATAGCTTTAAAAACATGTCAAAAGAAAGAATAAATGAATCATTGGAGAATAATCATTATTTAATAATGAGTAATAACATACAATAAAATAAAAATAATGAGTAAAAACATGTAATTATTTCCATAAATGTGGCAAAGATGGGTTCATATAATTTAACACCCACTCTTGAAAATACCTCTTAATAAAATAGGAATAGGAGGACTTAGAGTCAGCATCTTAATTAAGGGGGTAACAATGGGGACTAGTTCCATAAAGTAAAATGTTAATTGAGAATGTCTTTATCATCATTAGTCTTTAACACTGTGGAAAAATTAACCAATGCAATTAGGAAAAAAAAAGAAGTATATAAACATTTAAAATGTGGACTAAATGATTAGTTGTACACATAAAAAATGATTTTGTAGGAAATCCAGAGCATAGATAAGAAACTATTACAAAATAACTTGCTATGGTATCTATATATAAAATTTATATACAGAAAATAATGAGCTTACTATGTGCCAATGAAACCATTAGATGAAAATATCTCCGTTTACAAAGTCGACAACATAAATTTCAAACTTAACAAAACTCATGTTGATCAACATGAATACAATTTAAAAATGCTCATCATTGGCTCAGAAGTAGTAGACAAAAACATGAAAAGGTTTGTCATGATCTTGGATGAAAAATTCAAAATCACATACTTCAGTTGTGCTTTAATCAACAAATGTAGTGTATTTTCAATTTTTAAAAAAGCAGCAGATGTACTTGGGAAATAGAAAGTAGAAAAACATTAGTATTTTATAAATAATAAACAACAATAATCCAGTATTTTTTAAATAAAGAAAGAGTGCTAAAAAGAATAATTCTGTCAGATATAAGACATGTTATAGAGCTGCAAAAATTTTAAAATGTGCTATATTTAGTGAAAAGATCATTTCTGGCTCTTGTCTTAAAGTTAGCAAAGCCAATGATTATTGAGGAATTGGGTCACTTTCTTTCAACAATTATTTACTAAGCAGTAGTAAGCCCCATATCAGGCCCATGTTAAGCACTAAGAGATAAGAGTTTCATGATATATTCTTAGGTCACCTATCCTCACAAAGCCTATTACAGCTAGTGCTCGACTTACGACCACGACTGGCTCCGACAGACCGGTCGTAACACGATTTGGTTGTAAGTTGAGTAGGCTATATGCACGCGGAGATGGTAGTGCTGCCGGAAGCTGGTCCGCACTGTCGTACGCCCAGCTGGGCAACGTTTGCGCTGCCAGACACGGAGCAGTCGTGGCTAGCGATTGTGGTCGTAAAGTCGAATGATCGTTAAGTTGCATAGGTCGTAAGTCGATCAATACCTGTATCTGTCTGTCTTTTTTAAACCTTGTGTTGCTGTTGTTTTGTTATTTGTTTGTTTTTAAGAGACAGGGTCTCGCCCTGTCACCCAGGCTGGAGTGTAGTGGAGGTTGAGTGCACTGCAGCCTGAACCTCTTAGGCTCAGGCAATCCTCCTGGCTCAGCCTCCCAAGTAGCTAGAACTCTGGGCATGCTTCATCATGCCTGACTACTGTACAGGTATTTTTATTTTTTATAAAGACAAAGTCTTATTATATTGTCCAGGTT